CGCTTGACGGGCAAGCAGCTCTGGGAGAGAGGTCTCGTTGGCAAGGTCGAAGGTGAAGAGGAGGATGACGACATGCCTATCGAGGCTGTCGAGAAGCTCAAGGTCGAGGCGTAGAAAGAGTTGGTGGCGGGGTGCATTACTTGGAGTTTGGGCTTGGATACAATGAAAAAAGCAGATAGCCTGCTATGAGATGACACAAGATACGCAGAGAAGAGGCGGGCAGAGACAAGCTGTCTAGATACAGTTGCCGTAAAGGTGCCCAATACCATGGGTGCTGATATAGATCTCGGGTTGAAACCCTCCGAGTTTCCACTACCTACGTATATACCAGAGGTTACAAGATTTTCCTCCAAACATGACATGTCCATTTATCTTCCCAAACGCCGTCTAAATGCCTTTTATTCATTCCATCCAAGTCCGACACCAGTTTTTTTTTTAACCTTGCATCTCAGCATCCTCATCCTCATTGTCAGTTGCGTCCTCCCACTCGTCCTCCTCGCCCTCTGCAGGCTCACCGAGCTCCTTGTTGATGTTCTTTTGTAGCTCCTTTGCGTGCTCGCCAAGTCGTTCGTCCTCGTAATCCTGAAGTTCAAACAGCTTCAGGCACTTTGTGAGCCACTGCCGCGACGACTTCCAGACCTCCTTCCACTCCTCATCAGCACCGCTGGCGCCATTCGATCGCTTGGCGGCAGCCGCACGGAGCTTCTCTCCAGTAATGTAGAGACACCATCCACCAAGATACCAGGCTTCGACACTGGAATCATCATCTGTAATCAGACGCTCCAGCACACGCAAGGCTTCCTCCTCCAGCTCAGTCTCAAGTAGCAGGCGAGCGAGACCAATTCGGGTTGGGAACTCGGGGACACCAGGGTGCTCGGGAGGAAGATCCTGCCAGAGCTCAAGACTCCTGCGCAGGGCAGTCTGAGCCTCGTTGGCGCGGTTCTGCGAGATACGGACGTTGGCAACCGTCTGCCATGTCTCGGGCGACGCGGGGGCAATGAGCATGGCCTCAGTGATGAGGGCTTCGCAGCGCGACTCGGCGTCGGGCTCCCATGACAGGTCAGTCATGTAAACTTCGGCAACAGCGCAGAGGACTCCGCCGAGCTTCTGCTGCTTTTCGTTGAACGAGAGCTGTTGCTCGGGCGTTTTTCGTGGGATCTCGGTCAGGGCTTGGATCTGCTTTCGGAGGGCAGCAGCTCCGCGCTCAAACCACTGGACAGTGTCGAGGCCGCCCTCCTCGCTGAGCTGGGCGAGAAGGAGGAACTTTTCGGCACCGCCTCCAATCTTTTCATCTGCGGTGCCATCTTGATCGAGGAAAACTGCACGCTCGAAAGCAGCCCGGGCCTCATCGATATCGCCTGACTCGATGAAGATGGTACCGAGAAGGTTCGCGGCGCTGAGCTCAAAGTCGCCGCCCTGGCCGGTAGCATCGAGGGCCTGCTGCGCGAGGGTAGCGGCCTCATCTAGCTTTCCAATCTCGAGCTGAGTCTGAGCATCGACGATGAGCTTGGCAATGTCGGGCTTTGAAGTCTTGTTGTCGGGTCTCGAAGGCGCCATGATTTCGTCGATGGAGCGGGGAGCTTGTGAGAGGTGAGATGGATAGATTAACTGAACCTCTGAATGAGCCGTAGCTCAATAAACAGGGAAACGAGGTTCGCGGAAATATGCGCTCGAGAATTGAAGAGGGTATCTGATGCAAGAAAAACAGACACTGAAAAAGAATGGGAATCACTCTTCTTATCTCGAATGGCTCGAGGTTTGATGTGCTCTATGCAGTCCCGTCAACCTGTGTCTTGCTTGAGTGGGCGACTGAAAAAATTTGGGGCGTTATCGATAACGGCTTTCAACCTCCACCGTCTGCGGGGCAGGCGCGGGGCACAGTGGGACATCACCGGCATCGTCCACCTTGTTTGGTCTTAGTTACTCATTGGAGCATTTGTCATCGCACGGAATACATAGAGGCTTGCTATCTATCTGCATCATACAGTACAGCTTCTGGTTACCGCGGCAAATACCTTGTTATCCATCATGTTTACCGGAATCGTAGAGGAAGTTGGAGGTCAGTCTTGCCCAGTGTCCAGAATCCTAGTACAAGCAATCGCTCACACATCCCACCTAGTTGTCTCCAAGCTCGACACCAATGACTCTACTGGGGGTACCTCTCTGACCATCTCCATCCCTTCTGGGTCACAACTCCTCTCCGACTGCCACGATGGTGACTCTATCTCTGTGAATGGCGTCTGTCTCACAGTCACTTCCTTCACTCCCGAGGCCTTCACCATTGGCGTCGCTCCAGAGACACTGCGCATCACCAACCTCGGTTCTCTTGTCGAGAACAGCAATGTCAACCTCGAGCGTGCTGTCCGTGCTGACACCCGGATGGGCGGTCACTTCGTCCAGGGACATGTTGACACTACGGCTGAGATCTTGTCCGTTGAGCAGGATGGCAATGCCCTCACTTTCCGCTTCCAGCCCGCAAGGAAGGATATGCTGCGGTACATCGTGTACAAGGGCTTCATTGCCATTGATGGCACTAGCTTGACTGTGACCCAGGTCAATGATGAGGAAGCATGGTGGGAGGTGATGCTCATTGCCTACACCCAGGAGAGAGTCGTGGTGGCTCAGAAGAAGAAGGGTGACACAGTCAACGTTGAGGTCGACATGATGGCCAAGTACGCTGAAAAGTCACTGGGTGGTGTTCCCGGTTCAGAGCCTGGTGTTGCCGCCACATTCCCCTTCATCGAGAAGATTGTCGAGAGAATCGTCGCACGGGGACTGGGGGCCAAGTCTTGAAAAGTATTTAATCGTTTCAATATCATATCCTGGGTATCATGATTCCTATCCTTCCAATGTGTCTTCTCATGCATCTCCCCATACTTCAGCAATTTTCTGGCTCAGGGCTTTGGTGAACTTTTTCCGCCCAACAAGATGACTTGTCTGGCCAAGAACCAGGTCCCGCTTGCGCTTCAAGCCCTGCTCACCAGGCCCGCACGCCTCAAAGGCTTTGACAAACTCGTATGGCGTCTTCCAGCGCTTTTGAATCTCGAGCGCCCTCTCTCCCGTGACGCCTCTCGTTGTCATGAGCATCTTTAGGAACACATCTCGTAAAGTCATCGACTCGGACTTGGAAGCCAATGATGAGAAGGCTGGGTAGGTAATGTACCAGCCCGATGACGGCGCCGACTCCCTCAGATGAGACAGTAACGGCATGTAATTCTGAGATGTGAGGACCCGAGTGGGAATAACGTTCAACGGCTTGCTCTCGTATGTCCGTTTCAGCATCTTTGTCATCCGAGCAAGATACCTAATCGTGTCGTCCATCTTGGCTGTCTTCTTGACAAAATAGCCATTGACAACCTGCGTGGAAGCAATTGCTGACCGGACTGCCTCCTCATACCTCTGAATTGATGCCGGATCCACGGTGATCTCTTCGATGATGTAGATGACCTTCTTGACACCAGAACGCTTGAGCCGAAACTTTTGTTCGTGAAATCTGCCGTCCTTGATACTTCCAATCAAGTCATCCAGACGTTTTCTCTCGACAATCCAATCCAAAACAATCTCATCCCCTTCAGCACCTTGGGCCGCAAGGAGGTTGGGATCGTGACATTTTGCAATCCATTGGGCATCGCCAACTTCCATGCTCCGCATGATTGGCTTTGCTCCCTGCTTAGCAAGCTCTTCTTGCATGTAGTCGCGATCTGTCTTTGCTCTAACCTCGCGAACATCGAGCAGCAGATGAACAGAGAAGGAACCCGGCGGGAGGCGGATTGGTGTGAAGCTGGGTAGTGAGCTGTCGTCTGGTATGGCCGGTCCATCGGATACCACATTTTGGTACTCCGAGGGTACTCGTGTGGGCTCGGCAGCCTCGATGGATGGCGATCTTGGCCGGGAAGCAGGCTCAGGTTGGAAGCTGGGGATAGCGGGCTGTGCTGATGTCGGCTCCCTAACTCCTCCGTTCTCAGACTGCCATTGATCGGTTTCCTTGATTCGCTTTGCGACTTCCCAGCCTTCATCCGTTAGAGCGTATCTCCGCAGTGGTCGCCCTCTCTCATACACCAACTCCTTTTGCACCAGAGTTTTCATCGAGTTCCAGGCAGTGTAGAATTTTGTCGGGTCACTAGGCGCTGTAAAGGAGGAGTCGCAATGATTTTGGGCAACCTCAATGAGTTCTGCCTTGGTCATTCCAACAGAGGCATCTTCGTCGAGGCTCGATAGGCCGATCACCAAGGCAAAGGCTCCAGATCGAAAAGCTGGTACATATGCTTTGGGCTTACGGGCCTTTTTCGCGGGTCTTGCAGAGCCCTCACCATCATCGCCTCCAGCAGATGTCATCGCCTTACGAGACTTGGGATGCGGGGGCATCGGGAGGCCATTTTGCTGGCAGTACTTCTTCAGGTTGTCCTCCAAGCGTTCGCAGAGTTTTGGGCCAAATCCCTTGAGCTGCTGCAATTGTGCTGGGTGTTCAAACGTGATTGGGCATGCTTTCAGGGACTCGTAGGCGTTTCTATAGGTGGTGACGCCCTTGGAGTTGCGTTCGCGAGCTAGATCTAGCCATTCTTTAACCCAGGCCAGCAGCTGGGGGTTGGCACAGTCGGCGTCGTCCATAGTGTCAGCTTGAGGCGGGACCAGACGAAAATATCAGGTTCTTGGTGGTTCCATAATCCAGATCCAAAAAGATGTCGGCATGGACATGAGAAAACGCGTGATTCAAGTCGAGACTTGGCACTTCTCGTTCCGTGGATGGATTCAGACGCGCTGAATGCTTCACGATCTGGAACGCGAGGTGAAGGCAGACACGAACACACGTGACCGGTGGGAATGCCGGCCCGCACCGACATTGTGAGGCTCCAGCCAATAAACGTCTTTGCAGCTCCCACCTGCATCAACGATTCAGCTTGCGGCCATTACCACCTGAAGCTGGCTGTCTGATACCCCTCATCAGTATTCTTTTCCTCGTAGTTTTATTCAAAGACCAGCTGCTAGAGACTCAATCAATGTGCATGTAATCCATCATGTTGAAGCAATCGATCTATAGACTAGGTAGCTCCGGAGTGCTGAAAATTGTGGTATCACTCATGACGGGGTCGTTCAACCAGCCACGCCATTCCCTCGTAGTGATGGTTTTCTCTTAATCTAGGTATTAAGAAAACGTGTTTTTATCCCCTCCCCGTCCAAGATGCAAGTAAGATGCCAGCCGCCTTGTACACAGCTCCCGAGATTGCAAATGTATCTACCCCTTCCCGTCATTTTCCTTACCGCTCAGTTCCCCGTGTTTCGTGTCATCGTCAGCGAAAAATATTTTGGCTAAAAAAAAAGCACTTTAGCACATGCGGTACACCATGTGACCCTTGGAAGAACGGTTGCCGTCCTCGGGCACAAAGTCGTAGGCAATCTGAATGTCAAGGTCACGCCTGTTCTTGTCGTTGGGCCTGACATCAAGGTTGCATGTCACCTCCTCGCCCTCCTGAACGGTGAGGACGTCCTCAAAATAGAAGACGGTCTGCTTCCAGTGGGTGTACTTGGTATGGGGGCCAGTGGAGAAGCGGATGGGCTTGTGGCAAGCAGTGAAGTCGATGTCGAACCATGAGACGAGGGCATGGATGAAGTCGTCACGGTTAGCCTTAAGCTTAAAGGGGATCTGGAAGGCCAGGTCGGCAGTGGTGCAGGTGTAGAGGTCCAAAGTGAGCACGGGGGCGGGGTCGGTCACGACAGCCTTGACCTCCACTGTGTCGACAAGGGGCTCAGACAGAGCAGTGGCCTTCAGGGGGGTGTAGTCGAAGCCATAGACATCGTTCCAGACTGGGCAAAGTTAGCTTAGTTGACAAGTCGCGGACCAGGAAAACTCACACTCAATCTTCTCGTCCTTGTAGTCACCATCCTCAATACCAGCAAAGAAGATAGTGGCCTTGTCAGGGAAGATAAGACCATCCTTCTCAAGGTAGGTGTCTCGGGCGTAGAGGACAGTGTCCAGCATGGACTCGTAGAGAAGGAAGTAGCCCATCCACTCCGAGATGATGATGTCGACCTTGGGGAAGGGCAGCTGAACCTCTTCCATCTTGCCCTGGAGGAGGGTGATCTTATCGGAGAGACCGTTGGCCTGGACGATCTCGCGGGCCTTGAAGATGATGGTGGACATGTCAACACCGATAACATGCTTGGCACCGGCCTTAGCGGCAAACCTGCAATGATCCAGTGTTAATATGTATTCCATCCTTTACTCCCATCCCTGTTTGTTCCCCTCCGAACAGCAGTGGGAATCGTCTGTGCGAGCGCGGGGCTCAACGAGGGGCAGGGTCGAAGATTTCCTTCTCGGACGTACATGGAGAGAATAGCGGTACCGCAGCCAACATCGAGAACAACCTTGTCCTTAAAGATGTGCTTGTTCTGGATAATGGCGTTCATGTACGATCGTGTGCGCACTTCGTCTTTCTGTAATCACGGAAACAACCTGGTCAGCGGATGATTGCATCGCGCAACACAGCGCCAGCGCGAGAGCCAGCGCTGGGGTTGCGGGGGAGGGGGAGGGGAAGCTCATACCAACATCTCCTCGTGGATGCCTTTTGCGGTGCAAGAATCGTCGTCAGCAAAGAGGTTCTCTCCCAAAGTTCGGGGGTCTTTTCTATAGCAGAAAAGAGGATTAGGCATTCGTACCATGGTGGTCGTAGCTGTATTGCGAAGCAGTGTTAGCACATAATCAAACTTCTCATCCCAAGCGCAAGGCAAACCAACCTCTTAAAGTAATGCTGCTCGCTGTGCTCCATCGAGTTCATCTTCTGCTCGGCCAGCTCGACCTCCATCTTGTCGCCGCTCATCTTGACTACTTTTTTTCAAGCTCTGGTCGTTTGAACCAGAGAATAGAGAAACTGTTGTTGGGGGAGAGTGGAGGGTATGAAGGAGAGAGAAAAAATAGAATAAAGGACGAGTCGCAAGCAAGGATAACAACTTGAGGCGGGAGGACCACAAAGAGATGGATGCGATTTTCTTAGTTCGGGCAGAAAATAATTTATCGCCGTCACCGCCCGATTACAGAGAAGGCGGCGAAGAAGGAGGGACCCTTTTTCGGCACCACGCACCTTCTCGGTTAGCTCAAATCTGGCAGCCTGAATACAAAGTACAAAGTACCGCTGACCTGAGTCGTTTGTCCCTTTCAGCTCCTGGTGTGGCACCTAACAACTTCTCTTTTCCTTCCACTGCTTCTTTTTGCGACTCGCGGCTTTTCAACCATTGGCTGGATCCTGGGGGCGAGATCGAGACCCTGTGGATCAACCACCGTGGAGACGATGCCAGGATCCAATCTTGCACGGGCCTGAGACTTGCAAGAGCCTTTGGACGGTGCCAAGTAATAAGGAACTGCGAGCTTGTGCATCTGCCCGGGCAACGCGGCTGCAGGTACCTTTTTCAACTCAATTTGGGACAAGTTCACACTGTCTCGGGCATCAAGGCGGATGAATTGGTTGATGTGTGCCAACAGTGACGAACCCAACGTTCAACACCGTTCAAGCACCAATTCTTATATTCGTATCTATCTATGACCTTTGTCATGTCCCGCCAGAAGCAGGATGTGGCCCATAACTCGAGTGCGTCTTCTTCATCGCAACTGGGAATCTTCAGTCGACAACCAACCCGTTTACCAACCACCTGACGCAGCTTTTTTTTTTCGCGTGGTAACCAAAAAACGCCCTGACGCCGTTACATGCAGTCTGAACATCAGTAAATCAACCTCCAGCACACGTCCGTCGGTCGTGCGTCGCATTAGACCAGCAGAACGCTGTTGATGCATCCCTCGTTCTCTGGGTTGTTGGTGACCTGGGCGTATCGACCCCAGACAACCTTTCCACCGGCAGTCACCAGACCCAGCTCGCTGACGTTGACCTCGATGACGGTACCCTTGGTCAGGACGCCCAGCTGGGTGTACAAGGGGTTCTGAGGGTTCTTCTTGACGCTGATGATGGGCAGCTGCACCGTCACGCCGAGCTCGGGGTGAGTGACGTTGGCCTTCTTGTATCGCAGACCCATGGGTCGGATGAAACGCTCGTGCTTGGGGTTGCGTCGCGTAAAGTCGGGTCCGACAAAGGTAGGCTTCGTAACCATTCGCTTCCAGGCCTTCTTCTGTACCTTCTTGCCAGTCTTGACCACCTTGAACATCTCCTCCTCGCTGATACCTCGAACCTTGGGCAGAGGAACCGCAAACTTGGCCGCCTTCTCCGCTCGCTTGTTCTTGATGGCGCTGCTCAGCGCCTTAGCCGTTGAGGGGTTGGTGCGGTCCAGCAGGTACGAGGGCATGGGCGTCGTGGGCTCCTTCTCGTCGGCGGTCTTGACGTTGCGCTCCTCGTGGGCCTTGATGGCTTTCTTCATCTGGATCTTCTCCTTGTGTCGCTTCTGCTGGTAGAGCTTGGCTCGGAGACCGCGCAGGTTCTGAGCATCCTGCGAAGCCTTGTGGCCTTCACGGGCGGCACGCTTTCGAACTCGTTCTTCATGATCGAGGCGGCGGCCGTGCAGCTTACGCCACCTTTCCATATACTCGTTCTGAGGCTACAAGGAGTCAGCAATTGATCCATCTTCAATTTCAATTCGATGCATACCATATTGTCGGTGTCGCCCAGGCAAGGACTTTTATCTTGACTCGCGGGGATGTGATGTTGAAACTTCCCTTGGCGACAAAAAAAAAAGCGGCGGTTTATCGGGAGGCGGCGCTGGCGTCCAAACAGCGGCGCCGGGGCTCGGCGTTACCCTTATCCGGCCGGCCCTTGCAGCAACCGCCATGAACTTTTTCGAGATGGTATCCAACGACCGAACGACAATTCCCGTCAATTGACCAGCAATAGTGCCCACGCCCGAACGGCACTGCGGTCCATCATGAGCAGGGCACTCTTCCGCTCCGCGCTGGAGCTTCGAGCCCCCAGCGCGCGACTCCCCGCCTCGTTTCTGCTGCCAATTCGCTCCCGCGCCTTCAACACCACGGCACCAATCGTCGAGCCCGTTTCCGAGCGTCACATCAAGAATGCCGCCAATCCCACAGCGGGCGAGACCCGGCCTCTTGCCTTGAAGAAGAGCCACCCGGCCCCGCCCCCAAAACCCATGGAAGACTCTGTCAAGACCCTCCTACCGTTCCTCGCCGCACAACCGGACCACTACATCACCGTCCACATCCACGGCTTCCCCTACCTTGTCCGCGAAGGCGACCAGGTCCGTCTGCCCTTCCGCATGCCCGGCGTCGTCCCCGGTGACGTGCTGCGCTTGAACCGCGCGAGCATCCTCGGCAGCAGGGATTACACCATGAAGGGTGCCCCCCACATCGACGAGCGAGTCTTTGAGTGCAGGGCCACTGTCGTGGGCACCGAGTCGGAACCCCTCCGGATCAAGATCAAGAAGAAGCGGAGGCAGCGGAGAAAGAGACAGGCCAAGAGCAAGCACCGATACACCATCCTACGGATCTCGGAGTTGAACATCAACAGTGGGGAGGATATTGAATGAATGCCAGAATTATGTGGGATATGAGACGGGGCAACTGCTGGGAACCTGATTCAACATAAAAGAAGACGTTGGACATGTATAAAATCGGCCAATGCCTCGATACGCTGTATCATTACCAGCACACAGCTGGCTGTACCATAGTAAAGCACCTTTTGCAAAGACAACGAAAGCTCACGAGTACAACGAGGATGAGAATGTCAGAAAATGCTCGATTCAGCCGCTCAATGCGGGGCCAGTTCTGGACGCCATTTCTATCATGAGCCCATTCCTATTACAACAAGACTCCCCAAGTGCGTTCTCAGTACAAAAAGGTATTGTGGTTATGCAGCGAAAGACAAGAAAGGTACTCCCAAACACCCAGCTATAAAATGCCATCTTCCGTTAAGTTCAAATTGGTCATAAAACTCGTTCATCCAGCAGCATACTGCGCCTCGTCGTCAACTTAAACAATATGCTTCGTCCTTGTTACATCCTGCCGGCCATGGCTTTCTTAACGCTGGCCCAATAAGCCTGCGGCCAAACGCTCACGCTCTCGGCTTCTGTTGGCATCCGCTCTCGGCACCTCGTCACCACACTCTGAATGATTCTACCAAGCAGCTCCTCGTCGATGGGAAGAGCCTTGTCGGTAAGCTCAGCAGGATAAAGGAAGGGGTCCGACTCGTGAAGCAGCTCCTCGCATGTTGGTCGCATGTGGTGCTCTCGGTTGAGGCATCGTCTCATGGTGCGGATAAGCGAAGGTGGGACGGACATGCCTCCCATGCCACGCGAAGGGAACTCAATCTCATGATCCCAGTTGATGATGGCCTGGCATCTTGACATTTGGTTGGCAATGTGGCCGAAAGGAGGCAGACCGTACACCATCTGGTAAAGGATACAGCCCAGGGACCAAATATCGCTAGGTTTGCCCAGCTTCATAAGCTTGGGTCGTCCGGGCATGCGGCCTCCTCGGGGGTTGTTGAAGTCCATGAGGGACTCAGGGGACATGTAGTTGGGTGTGCCAACCTGTGTCTCGCGGTGTACGTTGACGGTCTCGTCCGTCTGGATAGCGTTGGCAATACCAAAGTCGATGAGCTTCAACTGACCCTTGACCAGGACGAAATTGGCCGGCTTGAGATCAGAATGAACGATATCGCATTGGTGAACCGCCTGCAAGCATTCGAGCATCTCCTTCCAGTAGAACCGCACAAAAACTGGATCAAACTTGGCGGCTTCGGGGTTGTAACGTTTCCGCAAAAAGGTGTTAAAGTCCAGCTCTCCAATCTCCATAAGCTATATGACACGTTAGCAAGTCTTGTTCCAAATAAGTGAGGATGGGGGGGCTTACCAAAGTAAGAATCTGCTTCTCAGTATTCATTTCGCAATCAAACAGCTTGATAACGCGTTCCACCTCGCCAAGCTTCTTCAATAGGTCGATCTCACCAAGGTAGCCCTTGATGGTGTTATCGTCGGCGTTCTCCAACGAGACTCGCTTGAGGGCGAACATCTTGCCATTCTCGGCCGCGACTCGATACACCTTTCCACTACCACCACGACCAAGACAATCAAGTCGAGTGTAGGCCACTCCATTAACTCGCAGGATGTTGCGTCGCTGCTTCGCCTGGGTAGTTGTGGCAGCACCAGCAGTTGCTGTGGCAGCCTCAAGAACAGACATCTTGGGAGGGGGCGGAGGAGCGTGGCGAAGAGGTGTGTTTCGGGCCATGGATGCCAGTGGTTTGCGTTCTGGTGAAACTGCCCTCATAGCAGCAGGGTCGACACTCGCAGGTCGCTTGGGTATCTTGTCCAGAAGCACATCAACTGAGGGCTTGGTCCGTTTGTAGCTCGGCGGGGCATTGTTCTCTTGGTCGTGACCAGAAGGCAGCTCAGGGCGAGGAAGAGCAGGGAGGCGGTAGTGAATTTCCTCTTCCTCCTCCTCATTCTGCTCTGGCTTGGCCTCTGGCTCAGGAGCAGGTGCTTGCTCTGGTGTGGGCTCTCGGGGAGAAGCTTCTCGTGGAGATGTTCTCGCAGAACCCATGCGCAAGTCGAGATTGGAGGCATTCCTTCGATGAACTGCCCTAGCAGCGCTCACTGGGCTACCCGAGTTAAAGTCCCGGATACCATCACCATAGTAAGACGGGGCGTGCTGATCATCGGCAGGTTGACTCTCGGGCTCCTGGCTCGACATGACCTCGCCATCTCCGTTCACCTCGCCGTCCTCCTCGCTCTGTCGTCGGCGACCTCGCCGGGCTGGTCCGCTAAGAAAGCTACCAGCAACCTTTCCGACACGCTTAATGCGCATCGAGCTCTGTAGGTTGGCGTTATCTTCAGGTCGAGTCCTGGTGATTGTGGATGGATATCGGGAAACACTGCCATGGTGAAAGGGAGGGGGGTTCCGTGCGACGGTGGCAGGCTCTTCAGGCTGATCATTGTCCATATCAAGGGCAGACTTGTCCAGCACAGACCGTTCCATCGACCTCCCTGAAGAAGGACCAGTGGAGCCGACGCGGCTTCGGTTTGAAGGAGACCCAGCATTTATTCGCACGACGCGTCCACCTTGTGCTGGGGTGTTAATCTCCTGCTGAGAGTCATGTCTCTCATCAGAGGACATGTCTCGACTGCCAGGGCGGCTCCGGGGCCGGGATCGTTGTGTCGAACGAGACACCGAGGTTGATCGTCGCTTGGTAGGCTTCATCTGGTTGAGGCTTTGAGGAGTGTTGCTCAAACGGACAACGCGCTTCCTGACGGGACTTATATCCCGACTTGCAGGTGCTGGGCTCGTCGGTCTTGAGGACCTTTGGTCGTGGGCCTGGACGCTTCCGGACCTCAAGTGTCGGCGGGTTTCTGTGGCTGAGGAGGTCGACGCGTTCAGAGCACTGGTGCGTCTTCTTGTTCGAGGGGGTGATGGAGGTCGCTCGACAGACTCGGGGGCACCGTCATTCAGTAGCGCCTTGGTGAGAGCACTGAGCTTCATAGGTACGGGGATCTCGTCTTCAGAGCTATCATCGTGGAATTGCTGAGGCTTTGGGTGGTAACCGTTGGGCGCGGACGAGGTCGCGGGAGCAGAGTAGCTCTCGTTGTGATTCATGGCCTGTCTCGAAGGGAGTCTCCTGAGGCCCTGTCGTTGTGAGGTCCTCCGAACGAGGCCATTCCCCATGGGCGTGGGTGAGGCAGCCGCCATGTTATTGTTGGAGCGACGGTTGGGCGCGTTTGGGCGAAGAAACGATCGAAGCGGTGAGGAATTGGTGATTAGTTGGTGAAGGAGTAAAGAGATGTTTTACGCGACGATTATGTCCATGATCTGGTCCAGGACAAAATTACCAGAAATTTAGTTTATGCGTCGCGTAAGGGAGCATCGTCAGGGAAGATGGATGGAAGAACAATGTTGTATTTTGGTATGGGGAGAGCTTGGCCAATTAGCGAGAGTTTGGTTGCCCAGCAACCGGCGTCGAACAACGCCAGTTTTTAAGCCTTGCAGCGGGTCAAGGAAGCAACAAGCCGTGATTTGTAGGGAAAAGGCATGTTTTTTTTCTCGAGGGAGACGGCATATGCAAAGCGTGTGTCCTCGAAGTAAATTGTTACTCAGGAGCTGTGGTTTTCTGGCATGAAGAATCGAGGAATATGGAGACTCGAGGCTCACAATCCAAGTCACCTCCTAAGCACTGCTATACAGAAGCTATCAGTTTGTAATAAAACGTGCCAGAACAAAGCCACCAATTCCCTGGAGTGGCCAGGACCCAATTCTGATCTGGTTAACGGTCACTCAGAGACATTATAGACAACTCCATCAACATTGCCCCTTGCTTTGGCTGACCTGCCCATCCCTCGAGATGCCAGTCAAATGCAACAAGCCGAGGACTTACACCAGACCCAGCCAATAAAACAGAACAACCAACAAGGTGCTGGAGGCTGGTAAGGTTCTTCCCCACATATTGCCGTCCTCCTGCCAAACTGAAAACTGCCTTTCGGGGCGCTACCGGCCCCCGAGTTAAAGCAGCCCCTGGAGCTGTTGCAGTGGACATCATGATTGGCAGCACTCGGCCAATCATGTCCCTATCGGGTACTGCTGTGTCCCGCGTCCGTCTAGGCCCGTAGTGGAGGTGCAGTAACTTCCACATCACCAACGCCCGGACACAAGCAATCTTCCCTCTCTCACATGCCGTGTCGCATAATTCTTCTTTCCATCGTCTCCTCCGCAAAGAGGTCGATGCTTCTACAATGGCAGCTCAGAGGGGGCGGCCATGGACGCAAGTCCTTTCCCTGACCGTCCTCATTCTCGCTTTTGTTGCTACCGTCGGTGCTTCAACGGGCGACAAGTGGCCAGAGTTCCAGAACTGTCTCAAGGTGAGCATTTCGTCCACACTGCCAAGCTGGCCACCAGAAACTGATTGCGTCGGTGTAGGTCTGCAACTCTCAGAATTGCGCCCCTAATAAACCTCAAACTCCAATCCGTACGTGCCCGCGATCCTGTCTTTTGAGCTTCCTAGACTGATGTCTGTTTCCGCGACCGACAGCTGTCCTCCACCGTTTACTCTTCTGGAATTGCGCCAGCGAATGCGATTATGCCTGTCAGCACATAATTACGAACAAGCGCATGGCAAAGGGTCTCTCTGTCGAGCAGTTCTACGGCAAATGGCCCTTCTATCGATTCCTTGGCATGCAGGAGCCCTTCAGTGTCCTCTTCTCTCTCGGCAACCTGTGGGCGCATTGGGATGGCTGGAACAAGGTCCGAGCCCAGATACCCAAATCGTACTCTATGCTTCCGTTCTATGAGTGGCTAGCGGGTATCGGCGTTGCCTCGTGGGTCTTCAGCTCCATCTTCCATACTCGCGATTTTCCGGTCACCGAGGAACTCGACTACTTTGGCGCTGGCGCCAGCGTGCTGTACGGCTTGTACTACACGACCGTCCGGGTTTTCAGGCTCGACAAGCGCACTCCTAGGAGGCGAACAGTACTTCGATGCTGGACGCTGGTCTGCGTCTTCCTCTACATATGTCACGTCTGTTACCTCAAGTTTATTCATTGGGACTACACGTACAACATGGCGGCGAATGTAGCTGCCGGCATCGGACAGAATGCCCTCTGGACTTGGTTCAGTATTGATAGGTATCGGAAATCAAGGCGTATTTGGGCGGCTTGGCCTGGTTTTGTGGTGGCCTGGGTCATATTCGCCATGAGCATGGAGCTTTTCGATTTTCCCCCTTGGCTGGGTTGCATTGATGCCCACAGCTTGTGGCATCTCATGACAATTGGACCAACCATTCTCTGGTACAAGTAAGTGCTTCTCCGTCAATCTTATTGTTCCTTAGCTAACTCGGCACAGTTTCTTAGTAAAAGATGCTCAGGACGATATATCTAATAACCAACGGCTGAAGGCTTAAGTCGGTAATAGAAATGAAATGGAAATAGCACGAAAAGTAACATTATTCACGTCTTAATACTTGTAGTTTTATCATGCATGAAATGAAGCACCAATGTCCCATCCAAATTGCTTTTATTAATGGTATCCCTAGTTTACTCGGCGCCGATGAACCTTCTCGAGTCCAGCAGTTTACATGAGAGAAAGCCGATAACAAACCCAGCTACGCCAATGACCAGCATTAACGACGCTGTGAGCGATTGGCTCACCTCCCGATCCAGCCATTTCTGACGGAGACGCATCGTGCCCAAGCGCATGAAGAAGATCTCTTCTGCACTCACTTCTCCAGCCCAGTTAGGTTTTAGCTCAGTGGACTTTCGAACGCTCTGCTTCTTTTCTACTCTATTGCCTGGTCGCATTCGTCAGCTCACGGATCCATGTCATCAGGTTGCAATCTGTGATGGTGGCTTACAGTAGAGTCAAGGACACATCGCCCTGGAGGCGCGCCTTGAGCTCAACCTCGACATCCAAGTTGAGTCCCAACTGGAGGCGGACGGGCTTGGTCTCGGCAAGACGGGGCAGAACGGCTCCGGTCTTGATGCCATCCCGGGTGGCGAGCTGCTTGTTGTTGCGGCGGCGGCGGCGTCGGCCCTGAGAGTCGACGCTGGAAACCTCGGAAGCCGAGTCGTCGAGCTGCCGGCGCAGGTCAGCCAGGATGTTATCGGCGGACCGGGCAGGGCTGCCACCAGGGCTAGAGCCCGGAGCACCCTGGCCCGATGGGAGGGCCGTGGTACCGACCTTGGGCATGATGTTCTGAGTGGCCATTTTCTCAAAGTAGGGGGGAGGTGGATCGGGTGATTCAAAGCTCAGCGTCGTCACGGAATTGTACCGAGTGTGCGAGTAGCTCTCCTGATAGCTCGGTGGCGGAGGTTGCTTAGGAGGTCGGCGCTTGCGAGATGCACGAACAAGACGAAGAGGCTTGACCTCGAGGCTGGTTGACCGGCTAGGGTAGTACGGCGGAGGCTGAAGGGTGTAGCCGGAGGGCTTGAGCGGGAGGACTCGGGGGAGACAAGTACCGGCAGAGACGCCGTAGGGTTGATCGGGGAGTGCGGGACCGGAGTAGGTAGGTAGTTCACGGAGAACTGGTTCGCTTTCCCGCGGCCGGCTGCTGGGAAAGCTAGGGATACAAAGACAGAACGAGTCAAGGATTGGATTATCCACGCCTGCGCTGCTGGCAATGGAGGATGAGAGAGTGGATTAGATGGGAAGCAAAAGAGGTAGAATAAAGTTGGGCACCAGGCCGTGAAGAGAAGAGCAGGAAGGAGAGGAGGCTGTGTAGATTGAACTGAGTTGGTGATGGAATTCCTCTCAATGCTGGAGTTGAGGTCGGACTATATACTCGTTCATGCGCATAACGTGAACCTTATCTTGAACCTCTAGATTGACAACCTTTGCGCGCGGATCGCCTACAGTCTATGAAGTGGTCCCAGAAACTCATCAGCTCGTACGATGGCATATACCTGTGAAACGGATGAACCGTCGTGTCGCTGGCAGAGTCCACGTATTGAAACGGCACAGGCAGCATTCCGGCCTCCGTGTAAGCCACAAAACGGACGGGCGGACGGAAGCGTTTGCGGATGAGTGACTAGGAGTAGTTGTCTTTGGGTTTCTAAGCGCCCTGAGTTAAGTCACAGCCGCAGGGGTGTTGTTACAGGTTGGCGTTTGGAGATTGGAGGCGATCAAACGGTAGTTGTCTAGCGAGGTCGGGGTTAAGGGTGAGTATCACCAACGGCGCATCCTGCGACGGTTGAGGGTTGCACTCGCATATCTCCACTCTTAAACTCAGGAGGATATAGACATATTCAATACTAGGATCACAGCTCAGATCATTAAGCATCTGGTCTTACCCGGGAGTAGTTATTTTGTTAGCCTTTAAATGAAGCTTAACTCATAATCTACATGACAAACATTGTTCACATACAAATCATTGAGATATTATAGATACTCAGCTGCATCATATATGTTATTCGTGGCGATGAATTAACGGTGTATCTCGAGATTTGTTCTCAACAGGCGCAGCTCTCACTACCCTTGCACCATTCCCTAGTTCTTCCTTCCTCCTCTATAGGTAATATAAACATCCATGGCAATTGCTGCGAACCCTCTCAATAATCGCACACGCCTTTTCCCTTGTGCGGCGTATGAACATAACAGAACAGGTCATAAGTGAAGTTAGGTAACCAAAAGGGAAGGAACCCAGATCAAACGACGCCCCCACATCTGCTCTTTCCAACTCCATGTGAAAGAAGGACCGACCACCAAGTGAAGGAAAGCGGGCAAAAACTCCGCCTCAATAGTTTCCTCCCTTGTCTTTCATCCCAGGATATCCATCCATCTCTTTTCGTTTCATTCCTTTCTTTCATCCTTTTCTTCAATGCAACTCTCTCAAGCGGCAGAAATGATGAGACTCCAGAGCCTGGAACTTTTCCATACCCTAGTCTCTTTGGAGCGTCAATGCGACACTCCCTAACCCGCTTACTTGGTGCATCAGCCCATTCCAGAAAGCCCTTTCAGCCTTAACGAGACGTCTGTCAGATTGACGTTTCGAGAAGGCTTCATGACAGGCACATTTCCCTACCAGACTCCAAACGCCATGACTCGCCAAGTCCTTTCCTGTCAGCATCTCATGTGCTGAGGAGATCACGCACTGACAGCCCCCGCCCCTTGGAGTCTCGACGATCATTATTCAGCATCAACAAAGCAGCCATGGCCTCTTGGTCAAGCTCGCTCTGGGGGTCAAGTGCTGGGCTCGTCAGGGCTGAGGTTGGCGCCGAAGCATCACCACGGCTGTATGATGGTGCCCCAAACACTTGCGGACCAAATGCCGGCGATGTTCCCGCCGAAACGCTATAGCTGTACCGCCGATGGTCTGTTGATACGGATGAATATGAGTGGTGTCGATGGCGAGAATCCTGAGGGGGTAGGGCTGGTGATATAGATGGATGGCGGGTTTGCTGATCTGGCATGGCAGTCATGGCAGGCGATGTGACATCCGAATCCTCCATCTCGACGTCTTCGTCCACAGAGCCAGCTGGATCGCCTCGAAACGTTGGATGAAATTCGCGGATAGAAGGCAAACGGTCTCGGGCCGTGGGCGTTTGCCTGCCGGATTCGGTTCGGGCGCTCTCTTCCTCCTGCTGTGCCTTTAACTTGGACACACAATCTTCGAGGTACCGGATATACTCGATAGACGCCTGTGTTTGCAAGACCCCTGTCAGTCACTCTATCATCAATATGGGCGTTCAAAGTGGACGAACCTGTAGAATGGAGAGCTTGTGCATATCTCCAGTGCAGGCCGGGATCATATTCTTGAGCACCGCAAACTCCTCGTTCATCTTGCTTCGCCTTCGACGCTCAATCAAACTATGGGCCGTCTTTCTCGCGATTTTTCGTCCTGCTGCGCTCGTGGCACTGGGTTGCTTCTTCTTGCCCTTCTCGTCTGCCGCGACATCTCCAGCTGTCGAACCAGTTGTTTTTGAGTTTGTCGCTGCGGTTGTGTTCTTGGTCCCTGCTGAACCCTTCTTTGATTTCTCCTTACCAGCACCATTGTCGCCACCGGTGTCCTGCGCTCGAGGCTTCATCTGGATGATTTTCCGGGATCGTGTTGGGGGAGGTGGTAGGGCGAACGAGCTCTCCTTCGCTTCCTTGGCAGCGGAAGAGCGGCGGCGCGCCTTTACGGTCTCGGCTGGCTGCATGGGAAATGTTGCCCCGGGGGAGGTGGTGACTAGTGGGTGTGACTTGGTATCGGTGGGTGAGACGCGAGATGATGAGGCTGTGGGGGAGATGCGAGACGCATCATGGATAGCTGGGGGCGGCAACTCGAAGGAGAGCTGGAAGGAGGCGAGTTGTTGAGTGCCGTCCTTGCCCTTGATGTCGGATGAAGAACCTGGTGTGAGTGGGAGGCCCGGTCGAGGCATCTTGGTGGTGATTGTGATCTGGGTTTGCCTCGACGGTCTTGGAATTGGGAGAACTTGAGCCCTTTGGCTCAGACAAGGAGCTCCTGTGAGAAGCAGCTGCCCGGTGAGTATGTGGGCGAGAGCTCTATGGCTATAGGAGAGTGAGGCCTTTCGTGGAAAGGTACTGCTTCTCTCTTGGAAATGGTGGTAGGCTGAGAGTGCGAAACGAGCGAATGGAGAGAACCAGCACCACTGCGACAAGGTCCGTACGGGGCCAAACCCTTTTTCTTGGATATCAGATACGAGGAGAGAAAAGAAGGGAAGATGTGGCCGCCAAATGGAGTGGAGGAGAGAGTTAGGTTCGTCGATCGTCGGCAGACAGGGTGTGTCGGTGTCGTCGTCGCAAGCACAAGCACGAGCATGAGCGAGTAATCAACAAGCTCGAGGCCGGCCGTCTTCGATTAACGACGGTCTAGTTTCAGTCTCAGCGGCGAGGATAAGAAGATACGGGGAAGAGATATTAAATCGGACACCGAGAACGCTGGCCAAGAACCAACCAGCACGGCACACTGACTGCAACATATCCTCCAGCGGATGCAGCTACGGACCCGGTACCGTACACATGCACACACACACACACACACGCAACCACGGCTCCCCAGGTCCCAAAGGCAAAAGAGTTTCAACCCATGAACCCGCTTCTTCCCTCCAATCCAGTGCGGCGAGCTGCAGGTCGTCTTCCCAGAGCGGCCCAGCTTGACCCAGACCGACCCAGGTTGAAGGGATGCGATTTCATGGACCAAGCATCATCGAGGAAATGGTCGCGTGCTCTCTCCGGCGACGGACGAATCAGCGTGGGGTATTCGCCCATGTGGTCGTCGGTGGGCTTTTTGGTGGGCAGGGGTCTGGTCTCAGAAGCAAAAGAAAAAGCTTGGATTGGCGTCCTTCTTTGATGGGGAACGAAGGCCAATCGCCCGGGGAGTGTACAGGAGGGCACGAGGGTTGGTATCGTGCAGCATTGGCACCGTTCGACTCTTGTGTGTGGTTGAGATGGCTGCTCATGATGAAGACGGCCATGGTGTAAGTCGAGTCCACCGAGGCGACTAAGCATAATTCCACGACGAGAGACAAGATGCTCTCTGCGGAATCGGCAGGGCAGGACAAAGAGCAACCTACGAGATAAGCATCGCACAGACCAAGACGTCGACTTATCCAACCATCTCTCTCACTCCTTACGAACCAGAACGTGAACCAGAGGACGAACGGAGCGTGGTCAGGATCTCCAATCTCTCCAATCTTCATGACACACGGTCCCTCGACTTGGGGTCTCTCCACCTCCACCATCTCGAGCATCTCCACCCATCCCAGCACAACACAGCTCCACCAGCCATTGAAAGGACTCTGGCACGAGCAGATCTTGGGAACCCAAAGGGGTAATGGCACACACTTGAGGCTTCAATCATGGCGAAAGGACACAACCAGTGCAGAGGGGCACGTGTCCGCCTCACAGACCCCAGACGCTCACACACAGGCCTAGGGCTTCGGAGACAACGGCAACGGAAACAAGGGTTTGAATGAGCTTCTATCGACTAGGGGGCGGGGAACACAAGGCTTGCAAACTAGAAATCGGGCTTTATTATTCGTCTGTCGACATGGTTGAGCACGTGCGTGTGTCTGCCGGATGTCAACCACCCTCAACAAGGACGCTTCCTCTCTACCATACATCCCGTCATTTTCCCTAATCCCAGGTGAATCCCACCCATCACCGTCTCGAGCCAGCCAACGTGGGGGCAAAGGTTCCGGGGCGGCTCTGATCAGAGCGACCCCTGTTTCGCCACAGACCCATGATTGAGGCTTGTCTCTCACGATTCAACATCCCTGGGTGACCTCCATCTCCTGCTCTGGCTTATACTTGATGGCCGAGCCGAACGCCCAGCGAGCTCGAACATCTGAGTGCGCTGCAAGGTACGTATTCCGTTCCCTTTTGTTTTGTATGGGCAATTTGCCCTATCATCCATCCCAATGCTATCCGGTTGGTTCCGTCACGCTGTTCCAGTCATTCATATCGTGTCATTAGTCTCGGCTTCCACCCGCTCTACCCTCGGTCTTTCATCTCGCCCTGGCATTTAGACCTCGTTGCTGGGGTAAGTGACCTGGGTGGTAGGAGTAAACTCCTCCTTGATGGCGCGGACATTGACGAAGCGGGTCAAGAGGTTCTGGCTACCAGCCTTGTCGTTGGTGCCCGAGGCGCGAGAACCGCCGAAGGGCTGTTGACCGACGACAGCGCCAGTGCTCTTGCAGTTGACGTAGAAGTTGCCGGCGGCGTTGCGGAGCTGCTCCTCAGCGAAGCGAGCGGCCTCACGGTCAGCAGCAAAGACGGCACCGGTGAGACCGTAGTCGGAGGTGGTCTCAATGAGCTTGCAGACGTCGGCGATGGCGTTGGGGGCAGCGTCGTCGTAGATGTGTGTGGTCAGGATGGGGCCGAAGAACTCGGTCGAGAAGAACTTGTGAGAAGGGTTGGTGGTAGCGTAGATGGTAGGGTGAATGAAGTAGCCCTTGGAGGAGTCATACTTGCCGCCGACAACGAGCTCAAGGTCCTTGTCGGTCTTGGCCTCGTCAATGGCTCCAGAGAGCTTCTTGAAGGAAGCCTCGTGGATGACAGGTCCCATGAAGTTGCCGTGCTCAGTGGGATTTCCGATCTTGATCTGCTCGACCTCGGCGATCAGCTTCTCCTTGAACTCGGCCCACTTGGACTTGGGCACGTAGAGTCGAGAAGTAGCACTGCACTTCTGGCCCTGGAACTCAAAGGCACCACGGACAGTCTGCTTGACAGCGTTGTCAATGTCGGCCGAGGGGTGAATCAGGTGGAAGTTCTTGCCACCAGTCTCACCAACGACACGGGGGTAAGAGCGGTAGCGGCCCGAGGCGATACCCTCACCAATAGTGCCATACAGCTTGCGGAAGACGGCGGTGCTACCGGTGTAGTGGAGGGCAGCAAACTCCTTGTGCTCGAGAACAACCTTTGTGACCTCGACGGGGTTGCCAGGGACGAACTGGATAACATCCTTGGGGAGGCCAGCCTCGAGCAGGATCTGGTAGACGAGCCAGTTGGAGGCAATGGCGAAGTCGCTGGGCTTCCAAACGACGACGTTACCGAGGAGAGCGGGAGCACCGGGAAGGTTACCAGCGATGGCGGTAAAGTTGAAGGGGCTCACGGCGTAGACGAAGCCCTCGAGGGCGCGGTACTCGAGGCGGTTCCAGACACCAGGCGAGTTGTGCTCGGGCTGGGTGCTGTAGAGCTGCTCAGCGTAGTGGACGTTGAAGCGGAGGAAGTCAGCCAGCTCGGCGGCGGCGTCGATCTCGGCCTGCCAGGCATTCTTTCCCTGGCCGAGCATGGTGGCGGCCATGATATCGTAGCGGTACTTTGTGGAGATCAGGTCGGCGGCCTTGAGGAAGACGGCAGCTCGGTCGGCGAAGGGGAGGGACTCCCAGGCGGGCTTGGCCGCGAGGGCGGCGTCAATGGCAGCCGAGACATCAGCAGCGGTGGCAGTGTGGTAAGAGGCGACAGTGGTGGCATGGTCAGCGGGGTTCTGCTGCTTGGAGAGAGCAGAAACCTTGATCTGTGAGGTTGTCGTGTTAGAAGCAATGATTCGAGATATCATGGGTCTCTTATCAAGCCCAGCTCATGATAACATGATAGGAGCCATGATAAGGACGGGGAAGATCAAACATACCTCCTTGCCACCGACGACAACAGGGACCTCGACGGGCAGCTTCTTCTGCAGCTTCTCAATGGCAGCAGTCAAACCCTCCCGTTGCTGACTGCCCTTGACGTAGTGCTGGTTGGGCTCGTTAAAGACCTTGGGGGTCTTGAAGGTGGCCAGCGTAGCGGCGGTGCGCATCTGCTGGATCCTCGCCGCGCTGCGGAGACCCTGGGCACCAGCCCGGTTAAGGATCATGGAAGACATTGTTGGATTGTGAATAAGGCGAGGGAGAGTTTGATGATCTTCACTGTCTTTGAGGGTATCACAAGAAAAGAAAAGGAAAAAGAAGACGGTTTGAAGATGAAGAAGAGGATGTAGAAAAAAGAAGAGGAGAGTTAAATCAGTCAGGTGGTTACCTAAAAAAAGGAACGACACAAGTCTCGCCTCGCGTAACATAGACAACCTCCTCACCCAGACAGCCATGATCCCCATTCCCGCCCGCCACGCGAGCTCACTTTTGCAAGACAAGACAAACAGTATGGGTTTTTTTCATAGCTCTTTCGGCTTATCACGGCCTAAAATGCCACCCGTGGGGCGGGGACTCACGAGCTAGCACATGACGTCGCAGCTTCCCCCAAGCAGGGGATCAATCTTGATTGGCCAATGGCTGTCCCCCTTGGCGCCGGTGTCGGCAGGTGGGGCGCATCTCCCGCGAAGAGCCGCAGGCCGGCGGCACCGGGACAGGGACGGTGGCCGGTACGGGATGCAGTCTGGAGTAGTAATACGTGCGATGGAATTGCGTGGTTCAAGGATTTCATATTTCTTGAGCCGGGACTGGATGCCCCGCTGCTCTCTCCACGCTCGGCATGATGGGTCATCCTATGCCGATAAGCAGACAATTCCCTTCGTTAACCATGAATCGCTGATACTCGCGTGCTTAGACATGGCCGCGCTTTGCCGACGTGGGGGCTTTGATGGTCATGTGTGCCCATGTGGATGGCTTGCATAGGTAGGTATCAACTGGGGAAATCAATCGCTTCCATAACATATGGATCCTTCTTATCGCTGAATACCCCATACCAAGTACCCAATTCGATATCTTGACAACCTCGTACATTATGGGTAACCCCATCATCTCCTCCACGCTGTCCTGCCGTCCCTCCACGCTGTCTTGTCGTCTCCTCGTTGAGATATATCCATCCTCCACAAACAATTATACTCTCCCTTCACCAGCTATAACTACAGCCACTTACGAACCCACAAATGTATCGCTGATGTTCGCTTCTTCCGGGTATAAAAAAATCGGCCGCCCAAAGC